TTGGTTGATTAGCAGGTGACAATCATTCAACATTCGTGTAACCATTTCCCATATTTGGGACGGTCACCCCTGTTGATTTATGCTATGATAAAACCGGATTAATCCGGATATAAAAAATATATCCGAATTGAGGTATTAACTCTAACCTGGAGTATATCCACTAATATTCAAAGAGGCAGTACTTCTCATTCCATATACATTTTCGCCGAAATAAGCATAACCAAAAGTTTTATTTTTGGGTTTAAAAGAATTGTCATTTATTGGATTATATTTGGCTTTATTTTCGCATGCAGAAGAAGTGCAATTTATAGATGGAATTAAAAAATCACCAAATCCAGTATCAATAATTACATTGAATTTTAACTTCACCAAAATACACATAATCTTGAAGAAATTCGTTTTTTAAAGGCTCGGTAGCAGCTCGCTTTATGTCAGTAGTAGTAGATGGTCTTGATACATAATGTAATATATGTGACTTAGAAATTGGCTTTAGCGTAATTGTGTATGGTTTAGGTAATTTAGTAAAATTGACGTTATAAAAATAAACATATGCCAAATCTACATGGTGAATTAAGGTATCACGATCACAAATCTTTAAGATCTATAGATAAATATGGGTAATTGATTCTATTCAGTGTGAATTTTTTTTTTTAATTCTGCTTATTTCGAAAAAAATTGGATTTATTAGTTTCTCAATTTATTTTATGTATAAAAAAAAAAACTTCGGCATGTATTCTAAATGCAATAGTGCAGAAATGTCGACGACCTTAAATATATACAGTCAACCGCGAGAAATGCACTTACAGCAGGGACCGGAAAAAGTGCGATTTTATTTATAAGAATTTCAAATCCTTTAAATAAAATCGCATTTTTCCCGTGTTCATGACTTACAGCTACATATGGTATAAGTAGAGTTCCATTAATAATAATGTATAAAAATGTGATCTATATTCTTTAAACTTTGAAAAAATTTTTTTAACCAATTAAACCAATATCTTGTATTAAAGTCCAGTCAATCAGGGAGCAAATTACAAATCACATTGCATAATTAATATCACATGATCAATATAGTAACGTATGCATATCGATATTAGTTGGTTTTCAGATTATTCTAAAATAAAAGGATTCTTTTTTGGATGTTCAAAATTCCTAAATTGTCCTAAATAGCCTTATATTTTTACCAATGCGAAAAGCACTACGTGACGATTGACGTAAATGCACAATTTGCTTCAAGCTGGCTGCTGATATACAACGTAGTTTATTATATTCTTAATTAAAATGGTAACAGTAAAGCAAGTTATGTTATGTTTTAGTCATGGATGATGATGGAATAATTATGGTTGATCATTAACATAAAGAAATCAGGTTTAACACAAAGCGTTCATCAAAAATCCGATAGTCGTTTTAATTTTAAACTTTAGCACGAAATTGATAACCATCTAACCATAATTTGGTTTTTATTTTAATTCCACTAATATCGATACAAGAAATTAATAAATAAGTTTTTCGCATATATTAAGTTATAAAGTTGATCTAGAATCAAATTCAGGTAGGTACTGTGTGAAGAGCCAGGTATTGTATTTGAGGATATATTATATTGAAATTAGTAAATCAACATACGTAGTTATAATCCCGGATCTTTCCCTGAATCTTAATTAATGTTTCGGGTGAAACCAAATGTTTCGCCAACACGAATCCGTAATTTAGGCGATATAGTTTCGCCCAGAAATTGCCCATATTTTAGACTCAATCCGAAGAGTTCGAAATTGTCCGATGTTATGATTGGTCTGTTCAAAACGTGATTCAATAGTGTGAAATTATTTTTGGTTCATAATTTTGTAATTTTATATGTTAATTAGACAATTGTACATGCGAGGAGCTTCGCTGCCCAGCTTCAATCTCTGTTAAACTTTCCAAAATCGATATGCACGGTTGACAGATTTTGTATCAGTATTGAGGTCATTCGTTTTGATAACATTATAAATTATTTAATTCACCAAGTCGGTTTCTGCTATGTAAACCTAATAGTTTATAATGTTTTCAAATCTGATGATCTTTCAATACTGATACAAGATCTGTCCACCATGCATATCGGTTTTGGGAAGTTTTAACAGCATTTAAATTCGTGAATATTTTTTCGTTTTGCCACATGTATGTGTAAATATCGTTAATGCACTTCTAATATGTATAAATAATTGGAACATAATGTATCCCATTAAAGAATTGAATGTTTCATTAAAAGACGCATACTGTTAAACCTCCCAAAACCGATATGCATGATGGACAGATTTTATACCAGTATCGGTATTGAGAGGTCATCAGATTTGAAACATTATTTGATTCAAATAGCGGGAATAGACCTGGTGGATTAATTTTTTATGAGATCAACTTTGACAGGGTTGGTTTGGGAAGTTCAACAGTATTTGAAATAAGCTATTCAAATAGGATAGTTACATTTCACGCCACTCATCATTATAATATTTGAATCCGTATCAGAAATATCGAAAGTATCGGATTTATTGATTTCGGAATTTGGAATTTTTATTTCGGATCACCTTATTATAGCTGTTTTCATAAATTCTGGGACAACTTATAAAAATTATTTCGGCCGAATTCGGTAAGTTTTTGAATTCGGTGTTATCGGAATTTGATTTCGGCGAATTCAAAAACTTATCGAACTTATCAAATTCGGCTGATCAATTTTTATCAGTTGTCCCAGAATTTATGAAAACAGCTGTAAATCCGAAAAATTTCGGAAATGAAAAACAATTTCGCCCGAAATATTAATCTTAATTATGAGGGTATTATTTTGGGAACACAGTAAGCAGTGGCCAACGATAACCGAATCCATTTCCATTGACCTCTGATTCGTCACTTCTCCGTAGCCTACCGATTCAGGTGTCTACTGCAATATCGATATTGAATGATTTTTAGGAGAATTATTTCACTTCAAACCCTAAATCGAGACCAATTTACATAACTGTTGTGAAAAAAATAATTATAGATCCTATACGACAGCGGTTATTTTACTTAGCCCGATTTAGAGATTGAACCGATCTTTTAAATTCATAATACATCAAATCAAGAACAAGTGGCCTGTTCGCATTGCTAATTGACTGGTAAAAATTTTCAAAATAAAGATAACGAAATTTTATTTTATATAATTTATTATAAGGATTAATTTTACTCGCTTTAATTGTCCGGAGCGAAGCGGAGGACACTCTGTTTTTAGCAAGCGGGGGAAGTCCTATCGTTTACGTGATTTTGTACCTATCGATTACGGTTGTCGCTTAATTCCCCGAAAGCTATTTACCCGCCAACTCATTTATCTGACACCGCAATGCCGACATGCTATTTCATTTACAGCACATTTTTTTGATAAGACATATTCGACAGTACATATTTTAGATAATACCTTTTTTCTTAGATAAGACATTTCCCCGACAATCATTTCTTCGACATAAAAATTGGCCCGATTTAGCCTGACTTAGAGTTAGTGTTGGTTAGAATTATATGTCGGGAAATTACTATCAGGGAAATGGTTTGTCTAAGGATTGTCAAAAAATGTAATTCAAACATATATCTTATCAAAAAAATGTCGGCATTACGGTGTCAGGGAAATGAGTTGGCGGTAAATAACTTCGGGAATCGTGCTGTAACCCCGATTACCGGTATGACATACTGTAACCATCGTAAGCCGAGTTTAACTCCGATGGTTGACGTTATCTTCCCCAGCATCGCCACCAATTTTTTTTCGATCACGTGATCGTACAAAAATCGTTAAGTTCGTTTAGATTAGGGTTAGGGTCTGTGCTAAGGTTAGGGTTTATGTGTTTTTAATAGCAAAATCGCTCAAGAAAAACTTTTTGTTAATGCACAGAAGGTGATTTCTTATGTAAATTTTTGAGTTAGAGGAGAATTTTTGAAAACGAACGTTTGTTTCGGATCTTCCTGATTGTGTTACGTTACACCAAGGCGTGATTTATTATTGGATAGTTTCACGTGATCGAAAAAATTTTATTAGTATTTTGGTGGCGATCCAGGGGAAGTTGGTTGACGTTAAAGGGGTCACATGATTTGGCAATAAATTAGATATTTGGATATTCATGATTTATTAGGCATTTATAATAAAAAGAATGTGAACTTATGTCTTCTCCCTTAACTAAGGATGAGAGCAAGCACTTATATATATGATAATTTTTAGAGTGTGATCATAACGACTACAGCATGCTCGCGTGTATTCACAGTAACCACAGCATACTCGCTGCAACCAGCGCATATTCGCAGTTGTATGATTTAAGCCTCCAATAATACATTAAAATGCCTAATACTACAAGGTAAGATTAACATGGCTATGATAGTACAATTACTGTATGGAAGGTAAGTGACAACTTAAAGAATTAGACAAATACAGAAGTGAAGAGACACAGGAAAATTAATTGTTACAATACTGATGTAATAAACAAAACTGAAGATCCTATTAAAAAACTAGATAGTCGTAGATGTCATCACGCGAAATCAGGAATGGAAGATTTAGAGTAGTAAATATTTATTAGTGTGACAGGTGGTGTTTGTGCACAACTAATCTTATTTAGTATTTTAATTAAGATTTATTGTAAAAATTTATTATAGAACTTACCGATCATAATTTCTACTACAAGTTACTGTAAAAATTTTGTTACAGAACTATAATACTCTATAGTTTAAATATATTAATAAATACTAGCAATATTGATTAATATATACAAAAACAATAAATTTTTTGCTTACTAATAGACTATTAATTGCAGCAATAATTTGATCATTATTTTTATTTATAGAAAGAATCATTTGATCTATTTTCCTTGTAGCAAGGTTTGTTAAGACAAATTTTTAATTTTGTTTCTAAATTAAAAATTAATTATATGAAAATTTGACATAATTCAAATAAAAATAAAAGAACAAAGATAAAATTGATACATACCAGAAATTAACAACCTATATATTTCAAGAGTTTTAAATATATTTATCAAAAACTTTTCCAGAAATCTTTCAAAGAAATGCTTATAGATATCAATGTAGATATCTTTAAGCATTCTGAAAAGTTTCTATTTATTATCTTTTGTTTTTTTTTTATCAAATAAAGTTTTAACAACCTTTCTAATAAGAAACTTGTATTATTTTTTTCACAAGTTCTTAGATGATTTGCCTAACCTGAATATGAAATCAGACTTTCATCTAATTTTTGCTATTTTTTTATTCTAAATAAATAAATTATAATTTAAATCTGTGACTCAATAATGTATAAAAAATTGATTAAAAAGGGCCTAAATATGCTACAGAATAGAACAATAAGTAGCTAAAATATTCTCTGCCATATAAAATTATATAAAAAAAACATT